TCAAGTTAGCTTGCAAAAGTTTGGTTTCAACCGTTCTTTACCACAAAATCTCTGCGTTTATTTAACACGAAATCGTCCTAACAGACAATGACGCTACAGCAACCACAGACTACGTAAGATTTACCCTGGATGTCACAAAATATGAGCGAAGAAATTTAGTCTACTCAGAACTTCTATGATGAACTTATGTTGCATTTCGAAAATACTATTTGAAGTTTAATTAAAGTATTAAAATCAGCGAAAAATGCTTTAAAATGACGGGAAAGGGTTAAAAAATGACTTCGTCGAAATCGACAAACAATACAAAAGAAATGACATTAAATGTGTCATTTCCTTTAGTCAATAATTGTCTGTAAACGGAATCGTTCGTGAAAAGAAAATGACTTTTCATGAAAATCCGCCCATTAGTAATTATTATTATTATTATTATTATTATTATTATTATTATTATTATTATTACTATTACTATTACTATTAGCATACACAGCCCTTGGTAGGGCAAAGGTCTCTTGCTGAGATCAGGGAGGTTTCACATCATCTGAACGGATCTTCAGGTGAAGGTACTTCAATATTTACCAATACACTTAGAACATCTATTAAACCTATTTATGTGTTCTGTATCTTTTCCATTGTCCACGGTCTCTGTAATAAGTAATAGGGGCCGGTAAAAAATATGGTGCTAGTTCCATATTTTACTAGGGAATTCCTAGTAAGTAAATCATCGTCATATAAGGAAATTTTTGTTGAGAAATTTGGAGCCGTTTATGAGAAACCATTGATTACCATTTAACGTGGTTGACGCCGTCTTACGAGACGGATGCATCTGGTTGTGCTCTTAAATTTGTGTCACTTCATCCACTATTTTTAGTGATTTGAATATATTTGGTGTTTAAGTGCTTTCATTTCTTGTTGCAGTTTGGTTGGATATGTAATTTCGGTTAGTTTTTTGAATATTGTCAAGACAAACAAAAATATAACAAATTTTAAACGGTTACTGGAACATTCACGAACTTAAGATTGACGAGCTGTTAGTGTCAAAACCTAAAAAACATTTCAATTTCTTTTCGATATTATTTCACTGTGCTAATTTAATTTCTGAAATATTTTTATTAGATTTCTGTTACGAGTGACGATTCCGTTAATTTGAACTTTACGAGAACGGTGTATCGAACAGTTTTAAATTTGTTTCAAATTTAATTTATTTTATATTTTCAAGACGAATTTTCACTTAATATCGTTTTCTATCTACGGTAAAGTATAGTTTATAGCAGCTTAAGTGGACAACAATCTACAGAACCACATTGCAAAATTTCGTAAGTACGAGCTTTCAATTTCGTAAACAACGCACTTTCTCATTCTAGTATCAAATCATAATTTTTTTTAACTACAACACTCGACGTAGTAATCATATTCATCAGGTAGCAGTATCAACAGCTCACTACGAAAAATTCACATATAATACATGTGCGTTATTTTACACCTTGCCAGATGACATTAAACGATTAAATTCGATACAAAATTTTTTAAGTCCCAAGTAAAATCTTTTCTGCTGCACAACTGTTTCTATACAATTAGAGACTACTGAGCATTCAAAAGGAAAGTAATATTATTTTTTAAATGCCATTTAATGTATTATATATCATTTGGATTGTATAATTGTAAAGAACCTGTAACAAGTATTGTACTTCATCTTCTGGGTCAATACATCCCCATACAGTACCATCTCGATCAGGTTTTCGTCCAGTTTCTCTGATCCTCGAGTAAATGCTGAGATGGCCCCTTGTTTTGCTTCCGGACATAAATGTAACTTCAAATTAACTTCTCCTCACAGCACGTCATACGGTTTTTAACTGTTTTTGACGTAAATAAGTAAAATAAATAAAGAAAATGGCTTTTAAGCGTCACGGCGAATTCGAAATTTGTCGCTTCTTTTAAATTTTGAAAATATTTTATTGGGAGTAATTTGAAGTATTTCTGTACTACAATACAATAATTTATACTAATAGTTGGAAATGTGCATATTTATGACGAGATACATAAACAAATACATTTGTGTTGTTTGAAAAGACAAAAGAATACGGCAAAACGAATTTTATGTCATTTTAAACAGGCAATTCGCACTATCCGTATGAAAAGTTTGATTTTTTTTTTTTTTTTTAAAGAAAATGGCATCAAAGCATTTCAAAAATTCAGAATTTTGAGCTCATTTTCATTGAAAGGTTTCGAGTTTTTCGAGAAACTATAAGACATCATTAAAGCTCATGTACTCGTATATGAAATAATGTGAAGAAATCGCCGCTGATGGATGTGTGTGTGTGTGTGGCACGACGTGAGAGGCTGGTCAAAAAAATTGTATTTTACGAAAAAAGAAAAGACTAGAGGAAAATTGCGTTTATTTAATATTTTACAGTATGTTTAGCACTATCCTTATGAAAAGTTTAAAGACAAAATTGGAGCCACTTTGATAGAATCTGTTTTTTGTTGTTTTTTTTAATTGCGCATAATGCATGAAAACTATTTGAACTTTTAAAAATATGTACATGACCTTAATGAAGGAATTAATTATGGAGAACAAATTTCATTTGAAGAAAAAATCTCTTAACTTCAATTTTGTAGTTGTAGAGAGAGATTCCGAAAAAAATCCAAACTTTTACAAATATCAAAAATTTAGAGTTAGATCTCGCCATCCAGGAATGATCACCACCTCCCAAGGGGAAAACATGCCGTACTTGTTTCTTATGGGACTAATGGCATTGGTAGTTGTCGCGCACGGAATCATTGACAACCAACTGCCATGGTATTAATGGGAATGTCGTTTTTAGATTAATTTCCTTTTTAATGTCAAACAATTTTTTTGCATGCCACATTTCTTAGAACTCTTATTGAAATTTAAAATTTTATATTGTCTCCAAGTCTAAACCTTTTGTCCGAATAATATTTGTCTTCTTGGCAGCTGACTGGGTCGATAAGAAAATTAAACAAAAAAAAATTATAGCCGCTCTCCCTAATAGCTTTTAAAATTTTTATTTCATTTGATATTAAAAGTTGTCTTTTCCTACCACTCTTTTTCGTTTAATATTGTGGACACAAAACCAGAGAGAAGACGAACTATACTTCGATTAAACATAGCGCCTCAGAGCCACAAATTACAACGTTAACTTGGAAAACTATCGTCAGCCAAAGGTCACCATCGAAGATGTCTCCCCTTAGCTGGAGGTCGCCGACCCGCAACGGGGACCTTACTGATGTCCTTGTGCGAATCGGTTTCACTGCGGACACGAAGGCCGTGTTCTACGTGGGCTATAATTGGCGGCGGTGACCCGCGGCTGGTTGCTTCGGTTTCAAGCTTGATGTTACTTGAGATTCCGCAGGTCAAACACGGCGTTCTACGTGGGCGTCAGAAAGCGCACGACTGCCACAGCCTGTCAGCACCCGCGGCACCGCGCGGAAAAGCGATCAATTTCATTAGCTGCTTGCGCCATGGCGGTACCGAAAGGATCTCTTATTTCGGCGAGCGGGCCTTCGGAGAGTGGGTCAGTCAGTGCACCAACTTCCGCACTGGCAATCTAATTCCTTACTCTCTTCTGGGGATGCCTTTGACCTTCCCTCGGAGCTAGCCGTCGCACTCTGAGATGTTCAGTGAGCTCCCCATACGCACCCGAATCTTTCGAAGCTCCGCTACCGAAGGTGGCCCGGCAGTCGACTTCGCGCTATCACCGGGTCGCTCCGCGGCAGCGCTGTGGAGCATAACAAGAGTAACATAAAAATTCCGGGCTATTGGCGCAGGTCGTTCCGCGCCTCATCATGATCGTTTCGAAGGGGGGGAGTATAAACGTGAGAAACGTATAAACTGAGTTTCACTGTAGTTGTTTGGTTATGCGTTATGTGTGCAGTTCTGTGTCGTGTAATGTTGTATCGTCAAGCATGGTAGACTTTTCAAGATGCGAAAAAAGTAATTTATAAAGAAACAAATCAATGATATTACTTCAAAATAGTTTGAATGCTATTTTTAAACCCATGAAAATATATATTGCTAATCACAATAATAATTATTTCATTAAGTCTTTATTTACGACGTTTTCATTCAAAGTATCTTGGAGATCCAGGTTTTTCTGTTACAGCATTACAAATTTAGTCAACATATAATACATTTCCAAACTAGAAGTATTATTTTGAAAAAAAATATTACAATGTTTTAAATCAAAGCTTCTTTTTTATGCAATGAAATAATTTTTATAGAAATTGAATATTATCATTAAATTAATGGTAGTCCTCCGATGACACTGGGCTCCGTTGCCGGAGACAGAGTTGCAAACATCGTAGTAGAGTCACAGTATCCAGCTGACAATAGAATGATGTTAAAACACCTATAGGTGGAATTGGTAGAATAGGTGGAATAGGGCATTCTAGTGTTAAGGTTTGTGTCACTATTGCCAAGTCCAGCTATCTTTTGTAAGACATAGTTCCTGTGATTTAATGACATGGAATTGAATACTCAGTGAGAATGATTTTTATAACCATTACTATTAATATTATCGATATTTTATTGATAAAATTATAATTATGATGATTGGAGAATAATTGCTCTTAATTACTGTATCAATGTTTTGAGATGCATGATCTGTACCATAATTTTTGTTCTTGTATTGACGTATTTTATAAAAGTATTTTTCCAAGTTTCTAACATTAGATTGTTATATAATTCAGTAGTCACTTGTTCCCTTCAAAGAAGCCATTTTCCAACTATTGAGATAATTAATACTTCAAATGACTTGCCATGGTACTACTACTATTACCATGGTATTTCCGGTTTCGAAATAAACCCTACAAGTCATGACCACAAAAAAGAATCAGTTTTGTTCAGCTTCAGTAAATTCCATGTATGACATTCATGAATATGGATCTAATTCCTCCTTTTTTCTCTTTCCTTTTTTCCCCTTCACATTTCTTTCATTTCCCTTCTCTTTTCCTTAGTATTATTGATATTACTCTTTTCACAGAATGGTTTATGAGAAGTTGGCTCCAGCTCTATCAGAAGAAGATCAAGTGTTGTATAAACAGCGTGTCGAGGAATTGTCTCCAAGTTTACGATATTGTGCTTACAATATTGGAGATGAAAGTGCTATTGACGACTTGTTGAAAATGAGAAGTCATGGTCAAGGTGATCTTCTTGCCAATTTGGATGTAAGAAAGAATTTTTTTCACTATTCGTACAGGTTCTGTAGATAATTAACATGGTAATTAACCTAACTTCATCTGTTGTGTGAATTTATTTTGCTTCATTTTGATGCATAATATTTTGTCTAGTCACTGATTGCTCAAACACGGGAACGTCGGGCTGAAGTGCTACACGATGTTGAGTGGCGAGGACGCTCATTTTCTGTTCGTCCTGAGCGTGTTCGCTTGTTCCTTATATCGGAACAAGAATTGGACACCACAATAGAACGTGGTGAAGACAATTCTGCAAAAATTACTTTGCTTGAAAATTTTCTAATGGATTGCAAAGATGCAATTTCTGCTGTTAAAGATGAACAGAAGTCAGAATTAGTAAGTGTAGATAATGAAACAACGTAAAGAATCTTATAGTTTGATATCAACTTTCTTCATTTAACATTTTAATTTAATTTCGTATTTCAGAATACAAAGGGGCGCCCACAGGCAGGTGCTCCTGTTTCCTCTCTTCAATATCTTTTGTCGTATTTGACAAACATTCGACTTACACGTACAATTCAACGCAATTTACTTATGGTTGAGTCAACTCAGGCAGCATTAGCTGACAAAAATGAGGTAAGAGAATTAGTATTTCTATTGAAAAAATATTGTTAAGAAAATATTTTTCTACAGAAAATTTTATGTGTGCTATTACTTGTGTTCTTATCATTCGTGTGTGCTAAAATTGTAATGATTTCTTTGTAATTTTTTGGTGTCTGAGCTGCAAAAAAGAAACAAATTGAGAAAAAATTATCATTTATAAAATTGGAGGGGGGAAATCAATAGCATCTGAATCTTAATATTCAGTATTGTATTTATTTCAATGTGTGTGTGCGAGTGCGCGTGCGTGTGCGCGCGCGATAAATTTGTATTAAATACATATTTAATTATAAAGAATATAGTCAAATAAGGGGGTCCAAAGTGCCCCAAATCCAAATCAATAATTGTAATCCTCATGTGAAAGAGAGAGAAAATACTCTCCCCCTCTCCTCTCTCCCCCTCTCCTCTCTCCCCCCTTTCCTCTCTCCCCCCTTTCCTCTCTCCCCCCTTTCCTCTCTCCCCCCTTTCCTCTCTCC